TATACCCGAGGCCACAAAATCTTGGTCTTCACATCTTTAAGTAAATTTACTGTGAGAATGACGGCATTCCTGATTGCATAATCAAATAACATATCATGGCTCGCAGAAAAGTACAGAGTCTCTATAAGTCCTCATAAGTGCTATTCAGCTAATAGTCATCTTTTATGAATCAGCTGCATCCAAATTTTCTATAAGTAGTTAAATGGTATTTAATCCTCTTCGCTTAGAACTACCCTTAACGCCTATTTTATCTATTGCATTGACTTTTTCTCTTCAATAATGATATTCATATTTTTTTGTCTATTTAATCACAATGCTTATATCTTTTGAGGAATACTGGTGTTCGGCAGATGCAAAACTCAGACCAATGCATCCTTCATCAATTGGAGGCGTTGAGGACATGATTTCATTAGGGGAACTGAATGAAGGTGGTATTTTAAGAAACCTTCAAATTCGATACTATCAAAATAAAATTTATGTTAGTTTTTACTCTGTTTTTGGTATAAAACCGCATTAGCGCTCCCTATTTAAAGCAAAATGTAAAAATGACTATTGTTTTCTTTTCAGACTTATACCGGATCTATCCTGGTTGCACTAAATCCATACCATATTCTGCCGCTATATACGGCAGAGAAAATTCAACTCTATAGGAGGAAAAAAATAGGCGAATTGCCTCCACATTTGTTCGCGATTGGTGATAATGCATACTCGAATATGCTTCGGCATAGTACCGGTCAATGTATAATCATTAGGTGAGACCTCAAAGAAATACCATTTATTTATAGGCTAGGACATATAATCAGATAAGGTTTGCTATTTACTTTTGTCTAGGGAGTCAAAGTGATCATCAGGCAAATATAAATTATTTTTTACTAAGTATATATAAACATATTAGTACAACTAAGCAACAGTTAATCATAAATAAGTGACTAGCTTTTATATGTAGAAATTCTAAATTTTTTTTAATTTAAGCGCTCTGACTTCCAATAATGGTAAAAGCGAAACTGTCATTATAAGTAATTTCCACTATTGAAGGGCAGATTTCTCACTTAGCAAGTTATAGTTACTGTGGCTTTATAGAAGAAGGATTAGAATAAACTAAGAAGAAGGTTAACCTAGTTTTCGCAACTTGGTCTTGTTATCAGAACGACTTAGTTGAACGCATCTTGTCCGAAGTCCTCTGCCATAATAGTTTTCCCACGGCCTGATGCTGGGAAATATTATTACTACTATGGCAGAGGATTACGGACAAGGTACGTTCAACTAAGTCGCCATAAAAACAGGATTGTTGCGAAAACGTGTTCAACCCACTCATAAAAATCGAAAGGAGAATGCGAACCTACCAAGGGCCATACCATCCTGGTCTTAATATATTAGAATAAACTAAAATGGTATTCATCCCAAATTATTGAGTCTCTTTTAGAGATTACAATAAAAAGCAGAGAAAACTGAAGGTGAGCTATTGGCTTTCATCAACGTGTCTGGCCACCTGCTTTATTCAACGTACCCTAGATAATCCTTTTGGTCCTCAAATTAAATAAGTGATGAATACTAGCTTTTTTACAATTTAGGTTGAACATTTTTCACAAGTAAACATAATGAAATTCTGAAAACTTTATATTATCTAATTTCTTTTGATATTTAGTTTATATAACAGTTATTTCAAATATCTTTTAATTGCCGCAATTAGTGAAGAAATGATTAGCGAGGTCAATACATCTCATATAGTAAAACTATATATAAATCCATAGGTCAGATTCATTATTTTGTAACAATTATTCTCTTTTATTGAATTTGTTAAAATTTATTTAATAATTCAATAAGATCTCGGCGTTTTTTCGTAACTTAATCATAAATGAGTTTTTTCTATCGCTTTTAATACATCTCATAGTCCTATACTTAAGTTTCATCTTTTAATGCATTGGGTCTCTATCGGCATGCCAACGCAACAAGTTTTGTTGATTGGTGATGCTTTCCATTAGTCATCCTCTGTAATGTTATTATTTTACTCAAGTCACATTTGTTTACTCTTGCATTATATTCGAATATATTGCCTTTTCTTGTTGGTTTTATTCAATTTATTGGGTTTTTTTGTGGTTTGTTTTTGAAACCAATTAGTGTTCAGTATATTTGACTTTATGCTAGTTACGTAAGTAGTAAAACAGAAAGCTTGGACGTGGATTTGCCAGGCCTAGTTCTATTAAGTTTAATCAGAACTAATTGCAACAAATTATTCGTATAATGTCATCCAGAGGGCGTAAACCACAAGGTCTACTAGGTATATTTTTTGGCTTAAAGAGGTGAGCTAGTTTTTTAGTTTCTCACTTAGATTCAGTGGCCATCACATAACTAGACCTAAGGTATTAATGAGCTATACTTTAAGTTGATGAAGATTTTCCATAATGATATGAGCAGAATTGACGTTTACATTGAATTTCACATAACCTAGCTCTCCCAAAAGATATTCTCATCCAGGAATGGACTGCAGCTTCAACCTTACATAGGTCTTATCAACACTCCCAGCGAAAGTCGAACTATGAGATTGCAGAGTGTAATCTCGACACATTAACAACTTCGCTACATTGCCACGAGTGCTCTTTGGTCACAGGGCAAGTGTGAATTTCAAAGAAGGCCGAGTATTATCCCCTATTATATTCTACGGGGGATTGTTGATGAAGCAAACTTATATTTGCTATAGCAATCGATGACATTACATATATTTCATTTTTGTATAGGTTTTGAGACTACCAGTAAAGTAAATCTAAGAGTTATGTTCACCATATTTCGTTTAAGGTGTTGTGGCTAACATGTCGAGATTACAAACTGCACTGTCATGGTTCGGCTTCCTCTGGGTGTGCTGATAATACATAGTCTAGGTCGAAACTGAGGTCCACCATAGATGAGCACACCTTTTTGGAGAGTAAAGTTATGTGGAATTCAATAAAGACGCCGGCTCTACTCATTTCATTGTGGGAAAAATTCAACTACCAGTACTTCATCCCCTTAAACGGAATAGGGTGGATATTAGTCATAGATCTGATTGACTTGTAGTCTCGAAAACCTACTAAAAAGCGAAACTTTGCTATTCAGGCTTGGAAACTATTTTATTTTCTTATTTAATATAGAGCTCATAATTTCCTTGGTGTTGTGTTAATTTAGAGCATGACATAGTGCTTGTCCAAAGCTGAATTATAAAAATTAGTTCACTTTGCAAACGAGCACAATGAGTTCCCGTTTTGCTTCGTATCCCTATCCACAAGCTGGCCCTATTTAGTTCCTTGAATGTTCAACTTACTTACATAAAACAAGAAGATTTTTTGTCTAATCTAGGCTTCATTAATAACCTGTCTCAGGTAGCTCTTTTATTTAGAACACTAGTGCCTTGTACATAAAATGTTCTCATGCTTTTTATCATTACCAATTCTTTGCTAGTTTTGCCATAGATCTTCATGACATTAGCTTTCACATACTCTACAACGAAATTTTGCGCATGATTAGGATCTATGCGCCATTATTTAGTGGTTACCAACATTCAATTTGGTAGTATACTTTGGTCATTTTGACTAGTATGATTCCTAGCACAGCAGACTTTCATAATCCTAAAACCGTGCTCAGTACAAAGAGAAACTGGGTTTAAATCAAGCTTCTGAGATAACCTTGTTGGGGGGACTTTAATTTCGTATGAAAGTGCATAAAGAAGAGATTTGTAGATCGATCTCACCAGAAGAGGACGGATAAATCCCGTCGTACTGCAGCCGTTTGGCTTTTATACGACGTTCAGGTTGAAGCAGTCCACGAGACCTCCCTCCTCGTTTCAGGTGAAAACAGGCTGAGCTTTCGTCCATCAGAGGTGGGTCTCATTCCTGTAAAGGTCTCAAGTTAACACTAGGGCAAGATGACTATGCAGCTCTATATTACCTCTTATATAGACTCAATAAAGTAAAATCAAATAAGAACTTAGATAAAGAGTGGTTTGGCTAATTATCTTTCATACTGGTCCTGATACTTTTGCTTGAGTGTGTGTATTAGCGGCTATACGCAATACTGGTCCTAAATCAGAGTGATGAAAAGTGTAATGTCAGGCTCTGATCATCAAGGTTTAATGACCAAATAGAATTCCCTGGCCGAGATTGCGTAAGTCCGTATGCGAGTATGGTTGAGATAATGAAATGTAAGCTTGTAGGTATGTAAGTTTACCTACGAATCACTTTTATTAAAGATGAACTTCCTTCCCAAAACGTGTTTGTTAGTTTTAATATTATAATTGAATCAATCAAGGGATGTCAGGATATACAACTCCTTTGACAGTATCTAGATAGTAAGTTATATAAGGTGAATTAGAATTACAGAATATTTGAATCAAGTTGTAATATTATTTAAACATTGTTTATTTATAGGTAGGAATTCAAAGATAGTATGGCCTTAGATTTGGTTGTAGGCCTTCTTTAGCCGCATAATGTTGGTTTGACCTCCTTTTCGCAAATTGGTTGGGGTGATAGAGAGATCCTGTGAAACATACCTAATCCTGCGTCCTCTGCCATAGTATGCATGATATTTTTCAGCATCACATTATTGACTTGGTACATTCTCTGAGGTTTCGCTGACAACGTCAAAGAGAGGCCTCATCCTTAACATGGAGTTACAACTTATCAAATTGATAAGAGAACGGGGGCAGTGATATCTACAATGAAGATCTGAACGTGAAACTTTAAAGTTCAATCGACCGGTATAAAATAAGCCTAAGAGTTAGCTTGGATTAGAACTAATTTCCTTATTAAATAACAATAAGAGAGGGCAACGAGGGCTATAAATTTGGTTTTAGATATAAGAATCAATTGATAATTAGCAAATAATATTCTTCGATTATAAGTAGGTTTTCGATACTACTAATAGATAATTTCTATGTGAAGTTTATTCACTCTATTTCGAATAAGACGATAAAGGGATTGATACTCGAATTTTCCCACAATGATAAGAGTAGACCTTAGGTTTCCATTTACTTTCACACAGCCTTGCTTTGTCAAAAAGTATTCTCATCCAGGGTGGACTGCAGTTTCGAGCTCGTCTAAGTCTTATCAACACCTCCAGCTAGACTCAAACCTTGACAGTGCAGTGTATACTCTCGACATTTTAATTACTACGCCACATTGCCACGAGTGCCTTTAGGTCGCAGGATAGATATGAGTTTCCAGGAAGGCCAGGTATTTTCCTATTTTACCTTCTGAGGAGAGATTATCGATGAAGCAAAGTTGTATTTGCCATAGAAGTTGACATCATTACTTATTTTACGTTTATAAGTAGGTTTTTTAGACTATTATTATCATTGTGGGAACATTCTAGTCTCCGTCTCCTTATCACCTTGAATTAAATATGGAGAATACACTTCACCAATATAACCTCCTTGAATTGGCAGGTTATGTATACAACAAGGCGACCCTTGTTTAATTTTAGGTTATGGAAGTTTTAGGTAAAATATTTCTACAAAATTTCCTTTCTTAGAATGTGGCTTTGAGTTTAGCGACTTAACCTACATTATCCCCGGCTTTAAATGGCATGTTTATTTTCCTAAAACTATTACAAAAGCTATTAATATTCTTATAAGGATTTAATTTTGCGTATGTTTTATTTCAACTAATAATTTGTCAATTTATATTCATCTTCCCTTGATATCAATTCTTAATTTTTAATCGGAAACAATAGTGGTGAGAGTGGTGCAGGTAAAACAGAGAGCACGAAATTGCTTCTTCAATTCCTTGCTGCCGTCAGTGGAAGACAATCTTCAATCGAACATCAGATCCTCGACTCCAACCCGATAATGGAAGGTAAGCTATGTTATTTTGCTTTTCATCTTAGAATTATTTGTTTTATTTTTATTTACCTTTTCTTGCATTTTTCCTCGTTAAATAATGCGATTTAATTTCGTCTGAAAATCTATAAGGCTTAAGCAAATTAATTCATCTCATAAGCGTCTAACAGCAGATTATTATTTCGAAGCATACTGCTCAAATTGCACAGATGAAAATGTACAGTAAGCTTGAGCATTTGGAAAATCTTTTGAGGATAGGCCACGCTATCTTTTTTGTGTATGAACTTGTATTAGTGCTAATCGAAGTAATTACGATATTATTTTAGCTTTGCAATTTTATATGGTGTAACAAATATATTGCAGTCTCTCAGATTTATATCGACTCCTGTTTTAATATAAATATATTCGTTACCGTGATTATGGCTTGACGATGTTTGAACTAGGTCGAATATGCCATAATGCTTATTTTTAAATCAAATCAGAATGTTAATCTAAATGCTAAGCTAAGGAAATGGACTTACGGAAATTAGAAAGAAGGGGGGAAATAATATATTATCAAGGAGCTAAGTGAACAGGGTCACTACACTGAGAATTAGACTTATATATTTTTTATACTTTTGCCGCTTCAATAGAGTAATTTGAAGTGCCTTTGATTACCACATGATTTGACCTGCTCTATAAAAATCTTGCTTTTAACACAGTACAATAAGTCTTCTGGCTTATATTTAGAAATCACAGTATCGTATCCTCACGTATTCTCATATTGATTGAAGAATTAATATCAACTAACGTCTTATCTCATTACCAGTCTGTGGCAACCTCAGACTCATAGTGATGCCTAGTGAACTCACTTCAGAGTCGTTTAATGTCAATTTTTTCTTGTGCCTAGAAGGGGCGGATCCAAATCCGTATTTACGCTTTTTCCTTTAGATTGCTTCATTTGTAAGCTAACATGGGGTTTTGGAGTAAAATTTGCTTAAACCAATATTAGAGATGATTGGGGACAAGTATTTGTTAATGCAAGAAATCGTTAAAATGATTTAAGTGGATATTTTGTGGTTTAGGTCGCCAATTAATGCGCATATTTTCTAAGAAAATTTGAAATAAACTAAGATCACTGCGAATTTTTGAGGATAAAACACAAAATTTTTCTTTATCTAAAGTGCAGTAATATATATTATTGGATTTTTAGACTCTTGGTGAGGAGTAAGTTAAGGTGAGGCATGCTTGTATTGGATGAATGAACGAAATATGTAGAAGATTTACCATTTTGCTTTATTGAGATCAATAGATGACACGTGTATAGTGAAAGAAATGATTTATTTTTAGCCTTGATATGGGTCATTAAGCAATAATGCCTAGTAGTTGAAGTTATCAGAAATAATATGAGCAGACTTTAAGTTTCCATTGAAGTTCACATAGCCTTGCTTTCCTAAAAGGTATATCATCAAGTCCTCTTATCACCTTCAACGAAAAGGGTGAAAACATATCATATATCTGATTTACTGGTAGTCTCGTTAACACATTAAAAAAAGAAAAATACTCTAAGGTATCTCCCCTTCTGCCCTGGGTTATTCGCGTTTCCTGTATCATCCTATCATACTTTAACTATTACAATTTTTCCGTGTTTTTTTAGATATAGTGTGGTGTTCTCCTTTGAGCGACATGATATCTTCACACTCCAACTGTCGTTCTCACCCCCTCCCCTTCATCCTTGTGCAGGGAATTTTGATCAGAGTCTGCTTTATTATTATGTAGTCCTCTTTCCTAGTCTTATCCTAGTCTCTCTCTTGCTCCGTAAAATCCGTCTGCTCTACTGCTTCTTCACCTATTTTACTGGGATCCTGCCATCACGTCTGTCCTAATCGAGGCGTTATACTTCCTCTGCTGCGTCTGGGTGACTAATTCGAGGCGCAAGCCTCTGAGTGTCATGGTCACACCTTTGCTACATGAACCACGTCTCTGGAACAACGGACCAATCCTCAGCGAACTAGCTCCGGTCCCCGCGGTCTCTAGCCTGATTTTATCACTATTACCAAGTCTATGACCTGCCATGCCCTAGTCTATTGTTTGCCAAGCGACAAATGTTGTGGTACAGCTTGTTTTGATTTGGTTCAATGTTGAACAACAACATTTATGGGTTGGCACACAAGAGGCTAGGGCATAGTAAGTCATAGACTTGGTATCATAGATAGAAAGGGGATAGAAGCAGTGGAAGCTAGAGCTCGTTGGCTAACAATAGTCGTGATTCAAGGATCACGTCTATGATCAAACAGGTCTATTTTTAGTCAAATAGCTTTAATCTCCACCTCGTCTTTCCTATTTCTCTCTGTACTACCATGTCCATCATTTCCTACGTCCTAATCTCTTGTGTGCCAACCCACAAATGTCGTGGTTCTACATGTCTTGATAAGGTTCACTGATGACGTCTCCTATTTGGTTCTGATACTTACTTTCTCATCCCCTTACGATCTCTTTTCCTAAAATTAAAGATATTACCTTGATCCAGTCGTCTTCTTTTTGCTGATCTTATTGTCTCCTGGTATTCTCCGAGTTTGTTTTAGGCAATATGAAAAGTTTTCGCTTATACTGTCTTCTTCAAGTCTCCTGTTCATTAGATTTCTCTTAATCAGTGTATCAATGGCCTCTCAAATCTTGCGTTTTCTCGTATTTTCACCATATGCAGCCAACCTTCCGGTCAATTTCCATTCGATTTCATGCCCCGTCCGTGCAATGTGTTCCGCTATTTCTGATCTTTGTGTATCCATGTTCCTGTAGA